GGGGGGGGAGGAAATGTGGCTTCAACATTCCGCTACTTTATCACACACAAAGATTTCTACTAAGAGCATATCCAGGCTGAAATACACACCTGATTTCTGTCATGAGTTTAATGCTTATGGGGTGTGAGATGCAATCTACTTTGAAATGATAAACACATCACTCCTTGATGAGCAAAGTATTATTTTTAGCCTTTTGGACCAATGCTTAGTTGCTAGCTTGTTTCTCCTGAATCTTGCCAGGAGAGACACTTTTCACTGCTACAGCGAATAAAAAGATGACTGGTGGCAATCACACACCTTATCATCAATTAGTTTGTTTGCATTCTGAAAAACCCTAAGTTAATTTTTTAGGCCCCAGAGGCTTTGTACACCAGAAATTACACAAGTCAACCACAGAAAATTGTAAATTGATATTCACAGCAATTTTGAGGTATTCTACAAGAAACCTGGCTCTACACCTGAATGTTCCCCTCAAAAACAAACAAAAAAATAAGCCAAAGCCCTAGCTGGAGTGGAAATTTCATTTACAAGATTCCTTTCATCCCCATGTTCCACCACATTTGATCCCACAGGGACACACTTAATTCCCCAGGGGCACAAAAAGCAAGCCTTCTTCATCCTTTTCCTGGAATATTAATTTCAGTACTTCCTTCCTAAATTTCCAGGTACACTCAGAAGAGATGAAGAGAAAGGTGGTATTTTCTAGCCAAACCAGAGAAACACATTCAGACACTGGTTTTGGTTTATTTAATTTGTGAAGGTGCTCTAAGAAGATACCAGCGATCCCCCTGTTGAAAATAGCAGCGCTTTATGCTCTAACCTCCAGTCTGTGAGGAAGAGGCTAGGGAAGGATCTGGACTGGAAAGTCTGAAGACCAAATTCAGAAGAAATGGTCTCCCAGCTCTGGATTTGGCTTGATAGAACTGTATCTGCTGAGGCAGGCAGCAGTGACAGAAGGTTGCTCCTGTCAAACAGGAGATGCTGCTTCATAGTGTGAGCAGGTTCCTAAGGGACTGGGCACCTGCCTTACGAGGTTTTCTGTTAGGGCTGAAGGGGAAAGGACTGCTTTATTCTTCAGGCAACTGCTGTTCTCCTTTGAGTAGTACATTCAGAATAATTTCCAATAAACCAGAGCTGTAGTACTAGTTGTGTATATTAAATTG